TATTTGTCTACTCACTGTAATTCAAACACTTAATTCACCATGTTAATTTCTGTGTGTGTATGATTAAGCGCGTGTGTCTGCACATCAATCCTTAGTCTATTCTCTTATTGGTTGTAACATACAGATAATCAATAATTTATCCACACTTGATTGATACTCAAATATATATATGGATTTTTAACTCGCATACATACATACACACACACACACTCTCGTGGATTCCCAGTGTGCTTGCTCTCTGTACGCTTGTGAATTTTATTTATCTTTAAAAATAAAAATACCTCTACAATTGGTGTTCAGGCTTCTGAATAATCTCGAATAAATCCTTAATCCTACTGAGAGATTTAGCCTACCTAAAATACTCAGTTAACGGGATATCATTTATTGGAGTCAGATATAGAGGAAACTAGCCTCAACAAACATTTAACTGGTCAAGTCAGAGATACCAAGCTATTGGATCAGTAACAGATACCTAATAGACCCAATTAGAATCAGGATTCTGTTTAGTAGCTTTTAATGTGATTCTGACCGCCAGTCTGAAACACACAACAGTCTTGAATGACTTAAACGAATGTATATTTATGCATCTCAGAACGTGACTGGAAATAGATAGGACATATACTACGCAAATCGTCAAACTGTATCACGAGACAAACCCAACTTGGAATCCTGAAGCAAGGCGGGAAAGAGGAAGGTCAAAGAACACATTACGTCGGGAACTAAAAGCAGATATGGAAAGGATGAATAACAACTGGAAGGAGCTGGAAAGGATTGCCCAGGACACGGTTGAATGGACAATGCTGGTTAGCGGCCTATGCTCCTTCACGAGGAGTAACAGGAGTAAGTAAGTCAGAACGTGACATTTACCATTTATTTTATTATTTTGTTGTAAAAAGGTACATGTTACTTATTACCGTTGAGTAGTACGTTTGTTTAAAAAATTAATGGAGAACGATTATTAAGATGTAAACATTTCCCAGAATATATTCTGTATGTAAATATCTTCAGTAGTCTAGAACAATGATAATTTTCATAGTATTCACTAACTCGGATAATATTCACTACATGTGAACATCTGAAATACAGTTATTTCATATTTATCTCAATTTATTACATCATATATATATATCATCATAATATTCGCAATAAGACAAGAAACATTTAAGAGGACACATGTGTACAATAGCTTCATCATTAGGCTCTATAGTTATGAATCCATTAATTATTTTTATCTTATAGGGCTTGATTAAATGAAGATCCTTGAGTAATGTGAATGAATTACCTATTTCAAATTGATACTAGCCAGTCATGTCATGAAACTCCGCCTGGACTCCCTCAGGGGGCTACTGCCGGTCCCCAGCCCGGATAAAGGAGGAGGGTTGGGCATGGGGTTAGTGTCCCCATCTCGTAGAAAACTAACTCGCTAAAAAAACGCCAACCAGAAAAAATTACTCAAACCTTTTAAACTCTGCGCTGGGAGTCAGAAGGTTTTCATTTAGAAGAGTTATGACGCCTCATGGTGAACGCCGAGTGCCTTCGGAAATCACGAGGCCGATGCTCCTTCTGACAACCAGAGCAACCATTTACTTAGGTACATAGAATGCTCGTACAATGTGAGAGGCCGGGAGAGTCTTCCAGATTGCTGCGGAAATGAGGAAATACAACTTAGAGGTGCTTGGGATCACTGAAACTAATTGGACTCAAGTTGGACAACAAGGACTAACTTCAGGAAAACTTCCGTTATACTCCGGCCATGAAGGAGAAAATGCCCCACATACACAAGGAGTTGCATTGATGCTGTCCAAACAAGCGCAAAAAATCACTTATAGAATAGGAATCTCATGAACCAAGGATCATCAAAGCTTCCTTCAAAACAAAGAAAGAAGGCATTTCAATGAACGTCATCCAATGCTATGCGCCTAAAAACGACTACAATGAAAACGCTAAAGATCAATTCTACGATAGGCTGCAGTCAATGGTCGAGAAGTGCCCAACGAAGGACCTGACCATTCTGATGGGAGATTTCAATGCCAAGGTTGGAATGGACAACACTGGATATGAAGAAATCATGGGACGACACCGAATGGGAGAAAGGAAGTAAAGTGGTAAGAGATTTGCAAACCTATCTGCCTTCAATAAACTGGTCATAGGCGGCACCATATTCTCACATAAACGCATTCACAAAATCACATGGACTTCACCGGATCACACTACGCAGAACCAAATCGACCATATCTGCATCAACAAAATGTTCAGGAGGACAATGGAAGACGTGAGAATCAAGAGAGTAGCTGATATAGCATCGGATCATCACTTGCTGGTCGCCAAGATGAAATTAAAACTCAGGAAGTACTGGAAAACGGGACGGACAATATCACAAAAGTTCAATACGGCCTTTCTTCAGGTCACTAACAAACTCAACAAATTCAAGATAGACCTCAGCAACAAGTTCCAGGCCTTTCATGATCTACTCAATAGAGAAGGAACTACTGTGGAGAGCAACTGGAAGAGGATCAAAGAGGCAATCACTTCAACATATCATGAGGTTCTGAGCCACAAGAAGCACCATCACAAGGAATCGATCACTCTTGATACACTAGATAAGATTCAAGAAAGGAGGAACAGGAGAGAAGCAATCAATACCGGCCGAACAAGAACAGAGAAAGTCAAGGCACAAGCTGAATACACAGAAGTAAACAAACAAGTGAAGAGGAGCATCAGAACCGACAAACGTAAATATGTGGAAGATTTAGCAATGACGGTGGAAAAGGCTGCAAGAGAAGGAAACATGAGAGAACTGTATGACATAACAAAGAAACTCGCTGGAAGTCGCCGGAAAGCAGAACGACCAGTGAAAAGGAAGGAAGGCGAGGTAATCACCAACATTGAAGAGCAACAAAACAGGTGTGTAGAACACTTCAAAGAACTCTTGAATCGACCAGCTCCACTGAACCCACCCAATATCGAAGCAGCACCCACGGACCTCCCAATCGATGTTGGCCCACAAACAATTGAAGAAATCAGCATGGCCATCAAACAAATCAAGAATGGCAAAGCAGCAGGACCGGACAACATCCCAGCAGAGGCACTAAAAGCAGACGTAGCGGTAACTGCAAGGATACCCCACATTCTCTTCAATAAGATTTAGGATGAGGAACAAGTACCAACATACTGGGAAGAAGGACTTCTGATCAAAATACCGAGGAAAGGCGATCTCAGCAACTGTGGTAACTACAGGCGCATCACTCTTCTCTCAATACCGGGAAAAGTTTTCAACAGGGTATTGTTAAACAGGATGAAGGACTGCGTAGACGCCCAACTTCGAGACCAACAGGCTGGATTCCGTTAAGGTTGGTCGTGTACAGCCCTAATCGCAACTCTACGGATCATTGTGGAACAATCAATTGAATGGAATTCATCACTCTACATCAACTTCATTGACTACAAGAAAGCATTTGATAGCGTGGACAGAACAACACTATGGAAGCTTCTTCGACACTATCATAGAGAATTCCTATGATGGATTGAACTGCAAGATCGTGCATGGAGGAGAGTTGACAAAGTCGTTCGAAGTAAAGACCGGTGTCAGGCAAGGTTGCTTACTCTCACCCTTTCTCTTTCTCCTGGTGATCGACTGGATCATGAAGTCGTCAACATCTGAAAGGAAGCACAGGACACAGTAGACATCAAGGATGCAGATGGACGATCTAGACTTCGCAGATGATCTGGCCCTCCTATCGCAAACGCAACAACAAATGAAGGAGAAGACGACCAGTATAGCAGCAGCCTCAGAAGCAGTAAGTCTCAATATACACAAAAGGAAAAGTGATAAGTCTTGTCGATTGAACAATATATTTGTTTCCTAAGCTATTCTGGTAACCCGCAAGCTAGAACTACACAGCGACCTGAACACTAGAGAGAAGACACAAAGTATGGGAGAAATGCTTTACTCCAAGGTTCACTTTTGTACAGAAAATCATGGGTATTTATAGATGTTAACATTTGTTAAATCAACATCACATTTCGGCCAATTTGTTAACGACATATTATGCTACTGATTATTAGTAACACGCCACGTTGGAATTCTGGAAAGCTCCATCATGCTCTGATTGGCTAGGACTCTTCGGCTCCTTTTGGGCCTCTTCAGGCTCCGTTGAAGTTCTCCGAAAGCCGACTCAGCAAAAAGAAAGATTATCCGATACAACACAGCATGCAACAATCGAATCCAAATTAACGGCGAAGATTCAGAAGATGAAAAAGCCTTTACATATTTGGGTGGCATCATTGATGAACACGGTGGATATGATGCCCATGTGAAGGCGCGGATCGGCAAAGCAAGAGCAGCATATTTACAACTGAATGACGTCTGGAATCCAAAGCAACTGTCAACTAACACCAAGATCAGAATATTAAAACAGTTCCACTGTATTGAGCGGAAACTCAAAGAACTGCGAAAGCCATCATCCACATGATACAGGTGTTTATTAACAGTTATCTACGCAAAATAATTCGGATCCGTTGGCCAGACACTATCAGCAACAACCTACTGTGTGAGAGAACAAACCAGATCTCAGGGGAGGAAGAAATCCGGAAGAAGTACTGGAAGTGGATGGGACACAAATTGAGGAAAGCACCGAACTGTGTCACAACGCAAGACCTTACATTTAATCCTCTGGGCTAAAGGAGAAGAGGAAGACGAAAGAACACTTTGCACCGAGAAATGGAGACAGACATGGTAAGAATGAACAAGAATTGGATAGAACTAGAAAGGAAGGCCCAGTACAGAGTGGTTTGGAGAATGCTGGTTGATGGCATATGCTCCATTGGGAGTAACAGGCGTAAGTAATTAAGTAAGTAAGTCATGTCATGAATAAATAATATTAGGGTTTTTATTGTTATTCTGAGCTTAAGATTACCAAGTTATTATAAAAATTTTGGATCCCTAACAGATTTTGTGAAGTGATTTGGGGCTAAAATGTATAATGCCTCGTGAAGTTTTGAGAGAAATTTTACTAGTGATTATTAAATTGTTTAACAATGCCTCGTGAAGATTTGAAGTCATGTCAAATACTGTGAAGCTGGATAATGCTAGTTCGAATCCTATAGGAAGCATCAGTTCTCTCAAGACTACAAATAAGTATTACATTAGACTACATATTTAGCTTAGATATTTGAATAGTATCATTTTCATTTGAAAAATATAATTGTCTTATCACTTATAAACGTTATATTTTGTAAAATAAATAAAAGTTTTGGTAATTGACAATAGAACTATAAACCATGTCATATACATACGTATCTTCATGCCATTGATAAAATTTAGAAACGATTGTCCAATTCACAAATGAGTTAGCAAACCTCGTTAATCATTGATAAACTTATTATTCACTAGATAGACTTTTAAACTTTCATAAACCTATTGGAATAGTCCAAAAGTTACAATACCGAACGATACTAACACAAAAATGCGTTAAAATATTTGTTTTGTTTTGTTTTGACTATGAAAATCTTCTGACACTATGAAGGTCGTTTGATATTTATGTGGTTAGTTTAACCAATCCTCCTACAGTTACATGTTCATCTTAACCAACGAATTCAATATATTAGTGACCTTAACAAAAAAATCAATCTATCGTCTGTTGAATTGAGTCAGCTTGACAAATGGATTTGGATGCTTTTAATCGCTCTGAGTGGGACGATTCTCAACATCCTCATACAAGACATCCGACAATGACTTCTAAGAGATGTCCAGAAATACCATCTCCTAATTCATCATCAGGAAGCTCAGTGGATTCAAGCACAGACAGATGTACAGAAGAAAAAATGGGATCTAAAATGAGTGAGTATCCTGGACAATCAGAAACAAATTTTAATCAGATACCGGTCAGTGCACAAGATAGTTTCTCCGACCACAGTCTGAACAATTCAGCTGGTCCATTTTCAAGCCAACAAGGTTATACAAATCCTTCTTATGGCAATAATCCATCTGCTACATCATATCTACCAGGTACAACCTCATTCAATATCGATTATGCACGTCAAATGCAAAGTCCTTATATTTCTGGGAATCCCAATTCACAAAATCTCCACACAAATTATTGCCCAACTATACCACCATCAGGTGGAAGTTCATTTGGTAGCAACCCAGTGAACACGAATCAAGGATCTGTATATCCGATGTTTAACGATTTCCCTACTCCGATTTCATCTCAGTCGAATGAGTTTTCTGTCTCTTCCAGAGTTTATGGGTTTGCTGAATCAGCTCCACTCGAAGATATAGTATGTTGCCATTATTAATATTGTTATTGTTATTAGTTGAATAATTAGTTTCGTTCGAACAGCTCTCAAGTCATTTTCATTGACTGTTCAATGAATTAACTGTGCACATAACTTTTGAGTCACAATCCGAATTTATTTTACTTATGTGGTGTATAGGTTACAAATATTTCCACTACTTTCCTCTTCATGACTTCATGGCCTATCGACTTGTGAACGTTGATAGATTTCATGAATTTCATGGCCTTCTTTCCCTTATCTTTTAATTTGTTGAGATTTTATTTAAGTGAGTGGATTGGTCGAGTGAGCAATTGGTCGACTTAGATAATCTGGAAATACGAACATCATTGTGGGAGATATTTTTATGAACAGACGTAATGTACAACACAAAGCTCCCATAATACCTGGACATATTTCCAGTCGATTTTTCATTTCTTAGTTGATGTAGTTTGAAGAATTCGGCATGTTTTTTCTTCAATCAAAGCAGTAAATTATCATAACTCAGACAAATGTTGGTAGGTATTTCAGTCTATTTATTAATTTTGTATAAATTCTTCAATATAGGCATGTCGTTGCAAACGTACTAGACTGCTGTTGAGTAATGCTGAGTTGTCAGATAGTCGTCACATGTGTTTACAGAGTAGTTTCGAATTTATTTTTATCACATAATGCGATATTAATCACAGCTGTTCTAATGTGATAGTTAATTAGAAGCATTCGAATTGATTTGCTAACTAGGAATTCGCGAAATAGTGCAATTTAAGACAGGTGGAACCAGATGAGCATAACTGGATGTATTACATTAGTAATTCGCAATGAGCTCACAATCAAGTACAAATGAATCATCGGTTAGTACAAACACTAATTCTAATTATGATCAGTCGACTGAGATCACCTGAATTATCTAGATTGGATATTGTAGGCTATCGAAATTATCACTAATTTATATTGTTGGGTTATTTATTGTGAATGTGAATAAGATTGTTTGTATTATATGATTGTCAAAAGTTTACCTCAACTGTTATGTAGTTGTGTAGTTGTTAACATGGAAGTAACATTAAAAGACACATTTCTTCATACTATCTATCCATCTCGTCACTTTTTCTGTATTTTAAAATCATTACCATTTGCACATCTTAGAAGTGAGAGAAGGTCTGTAGCAGATTATTATTATGTTAGCAAGAGTTTTTGAGATGATTATTTTATTCAGTTCCACTTGACCAGTGTGTTCAATTTGAGTTTATACTCACATGTGTATACTGTACATGTGAGGAACAAAAGGAAAAGCAAACGATTCTAAATCCCAAGATCGTTTGAGTATATTAAACATAGTACATTCACTGACAAATCTTGTAAAATCCAAGGTTAAAAAAAATAGATTATCATATCCATATGCTATTGTTGTCATTGCGTCTACTTTATATCTGCTTCATTGAAATTTGTTGGTCATTAACTCAAGTGAGCAACAAATATTAAATAAACAATACATGCAAATGTAAAAAAATTTAGTGGAACGAATCGATACTCTTTAGGTTGTATTCATCAATGTTGATCTCGGTTGGGATACCACTGAAAAAAGAGCATCCTAATTTGGGATTCCTGAACTGTACGAACCTTCTGTTCTCCAGGTTTTCAATGGTAGCTCGACAAATACAAATTATAAATTAAACCACAAAACCTATTTCCTTGAAAAAGATTGGACCAGATTGCCAGGCGAAACGTTGGATTTAATTCAAATTCTTCCGCTGAGATTTTACAAATATATATTATTCCTCTTTAATGACTCACATTAACTCGGCGAACAAATATTGTGAAACTATTGGTTCAAATTTAGACAAAAGTTCTTATTTATTATTCTGCCTTTTAACTAGATTCTACAATTTACTTACTTGTAAATATCCATTCTTCTAATGTTAGATGAAACCAACATTAACACCTAAAGAAAATTTCTGTGTTGAACATGACTGTGGGCGTTTAATGAGTGCTCTGAATAGATTAAAGATAAGAGAAAAAGAAATCGTTGAAGTAATGGGTCGTCGATCTGTTGTTCAACGTATAGCAATTCTACAAAAATATAAATCTCTGTATAAGGACAATTTATTCGCCATATTTAATTCTAAATTAACTGGATGTTTAAAAGATTGTTTGATTGCGTTGTGCTATACACCAGCAGAATTTGATGCAATAGAACTTCATAGAGCAATGAGAGGAACTGATACTGATGAAGATACAATAATTGAAATTCTTTGTACAAGAACAAATGAACAAATCAAAAGAATTAAGAATGTTTATCCAAAATGTAAGTTATTAGTTTATAAAATCGTCAAATATATTTTGTATTTATTCTCAAAATTAAGATTGTCATCAATTACTGAATATGGTGAGTAATTATGAGGAAGATTCACTGTGATTCATTTCAATTGTTTGAAATTTGTAAGAACTTCAAGATAAACTGTTATGCCGTGCGCATCTACGATTCTGCCTCGGGAGACTCGAACCCACGACTTATCAGTGTCGCGCACGAACTCCTAACCTCTAGACCGCTGAGCTAGCCAGGTTTCAACCATGTTAATGTCTAACTTCAACTCATCCAGAAAATTGATCGACACGGCTGTGCAGTGCTTCCAGGTTTTCCATGGTGGTCTAGCTTCAATTGACTCATGATCTCAACTATTAAAATTACTATAATATTCACAACAATCCTTCCGATATAAATAAATAAATAAATGTTTATTCATTAAAATTTCAGTATTCGATGGATGTGATTTGGTGAATGATGTAAACAATCAGATTACTTATCAATTCAAACGCATATTCATGACTCTATTAAAGGCGGATAGAGATGAATTTACGTTTGTAGATAGAAATCTTGTACAAAGAGATGTGGAAGAATTATTTAATATAATACAACAAAATATTAGAATAGATGAATCAAAGTAAGTGTGTTGTTTATTCAACATATACTAGTTGGTTTATGAAAATCTTACATAGCTGTTAATTAATTAATTGGATTTTGACTTGAAAACTCAATATTTACAGTTTTATAAGAGATTATATATTGAGAGAGGATTCAACTATGAAGTACTAATTTGCTATTGGACTATGTATTTGACTATAAATGCTTCATTCACTGAATGATGCTAACGGTAGGTAAAGAGTTTCAATCAAAGATGATAAGCTGATTAATGAAGTTGTGAACATGCATTGATTGACATATTTGGAACTTGTGTTACACATGATCCAACTATAAAATAAACAGATCTTTAAATTGGTATGGTGATAGTTTAAAGAGGAAGACTAATAGAGCTCAAATGTAATCATCATGATGTGATTTAAAGTTATTAATAATCGTGCAAATAGAAACATTATCTCTCTTTTTAAAAATGGTATCAGTGATTTCGTTTTCTCTAACTATTCCAATATGAAACTCCTCCTGAAGCGGATCGGAAAAGCAAGAGTAGCATATTTACAACTGAAGAACATCTAGAACTCAAAGCAAATGTCAACCAACACCAAGGTCAGAATTTTCAATACAAATGTCAAGACAGTTCCACTGTATTGAGCGGAAACTCAAAGAACTGCGAAAGCCATCATCCACATGATACAGGTGTTTATTAACAGTTATCTACGCAAAATAATTCTGATCCGTTGGCCAGACACTATCAGCAACAACCTACTGTGTGAGAAAACAAACCAGATCTCAGGGGAGGAAGAAATCCGGAAGAAGTACTGGAAGTGGATGGGACACAAATTGAGGAAAGCACCGAACTGTGTCACAACGCAAGACCTTACATTTAATCCTCTGGGCTAAAGGAGAAGAGGAAGACCAAAGAACACTTTGCACCGAGAAATGGAGACAGACATGGTAAGAATGAACAAGAATTGGATAGAACTAGGAAGGAAGGCCCAGTACAGAGTGGTTTGGAGAATGCTGGTTGATGGCATATGCTCCATTGGGAGTAACAGGCGTAAGTAGGTAAGCAAGTATTCCAGCATGAAATGGAATAATTTAGATCGGTACGTGATCAAGTTAAGGTTTTATATTGTTTATATTTATGTTAAATCATATCATGTACTCTCCTAACAAAGAAGACCTCTAGTCACCTAACTCTGAAAATAACTTACCCTTATTGTTACGATGGATTACTAAACATCTTCACTTTAATATCTCTTATGCTGAGTACATTAAGATGACAACAAGTGAGCAAGATATGTTTAAATTTACCCAACGAAGTCGCTGAAAAATATAAATTTTATTACCGAATCCATCCTTGTATTCGAATTTGTCACAATTGTAAATCGAATTCTGTTTTAAGTGACTATGACGTTGTTTAATTAAAAACGTTTCAAACCATTATCACTGTCGAATATTATCTGTGATTCTAGAGTAATTGGTGTGAATTTGAACAAAATGATTGAATATTGGAGAACAAACTTCATGAATGATTGAAATGTGTTTGATTGAATCAAAACCATCTGAAATAGCAGGTAGAAGGTTAGAACTCAGTACCATAAAGTGTAATATAAGTTGGTCATATTACATACTTTTTATCAACATATCTGTCCCATTATCTGAAAATGACATCTGTTAAAAATTATCTGACTAAGTGAATGCAATGGTGCAACAAATAAGAATCAGTTTGATGCAACATACAGCGCAGTCTTTCAGCAAACTGTTAGACATAATCCTTCTTTTTTCGTTAAATATACCTATACATATTAGATTCATTCTTATATTGGCTTCAAGATCTTATGCTCACTTACGAGTTGTATTCAGTGAATATATACGAATTTATGAACAAACTATGGAAGATACTTTAAAGCTCAGAATGCATGGAAATACACTCAGTGCTCTACTTTCTATGGGTAAGTAATATTAAACAATTTTTTCGAGAAATTGCGTGTCCGATTAATAATTATGACTTGAGTTAATTTAATTTGGGATTAGTTAATGCATTATGTAATCACTTGGGAATTAAATAGAAGTTGTATTCCAATTAATATCTGATTTGTAGTGAACAACTATAATCCCTGTATTGATTGGTCAGAGTTTGCTGTCCAGTGTCATGCTAGTTTGGTCGTTACTGTCGCCCAAGTTCTATTCGTATTAGTTTAAGTAACTCAAAGAGTGTATGCACTGCGTTTCGATGTAGTTTGTTTATAAGTAGTCAGTGTGGAACCTTGGGACTAGGTTTCGTGCTAGTTGATACTCACTCATCAGCAAGGCTAGCAATCAGCAATAAGAGCTGGATAAAATGATACTGTTGATCATTCAGTTATTAATTGCTGTGATTATATTATTCGCGACCCAAATAACTCGTTAGTAACGCCTCAGAGACGGGTTCGAATCCTCCATGGTTTGAGGTCCCATCAAGATTTCAGGTATGCCTTCCAAACAAACAATCTAGATCCAGATTACTTAGTAGACTATCCCCGACTATTTAATTTGTCTATTCATAGCATCATAACTAGGTAATTGACTTATTTTAGTGAAGTCACCAAGTTCCTGTCCTACAATGAGGATACTCTCCAGTACATAAATCTTTACTTTACTTTGCTATATACTACAATAATGTTTGCATATGTTTATATAAATTCAAATTCAAATGAGTGAACAGTTGAATGATTCACGCTTATTGACTGAAAAACAATTTGTGATGCAATAGGATTAATTAATTCATGTAGTAACTTGAATTGAGATTTGTTGTGGATGGACACGTACATTATCGATCAGTAAACTATTATTTATTTATTTATTCAAACACATAAACATTGTTAAAAGGAAGCACCACCAAACGGATATGCGCTACATAAATCATTCGATTTGTGCAAGGGCTGGAATACTGCCCGTGTGCCCAAACCGCAGCACATGGTTTTCTTATGGGGCCACATCCCGAGACTTTGACCTGAAGGTCTAATCCACAAGACAGTGGAGCAACGTATGGAGATGCAGTCGCATAGTAGCCGGTGACGAACGATATCTTCATACGCCATTTTTCCCTTGAGGATCTTGGAGCCCATGTGCACCATTGGTTTGGAATCAGGGTTTTTCAACTCCCTTAGGTAAACTCTCTGTGTTCACCAACCCGGTCAAATCACCCAACATTCACTTTTCGTCCTCTCAATTTCGTAAACAGCACCCCCGCCGCGAGAATGCAGTGAGTAGGACTTGCCTGGCAGTAGTCGTATGCACGCGGTCATGTGAGAGCATTTCGAGAGGGAGAGCTGACTCTCATCATTCTCGGCCGTACCAGGGCATTTGTGTGTATCTGGTGGACGTGTTTACAGTGACAATGACGTCGGAGTAATAACATGCGTGCTGACACCGTGAACAGCACACTGGTCATTACGTCTGGCTCGTGTATTCGCTAAATACCCAACATTCACTTTTCGTCCTCTCAATTTCGTAGACAACACCCCCGCCGCGAGAAGGCAGTGAGTATATATGTTATGTATATATGGGACAGTTTATACCTATTGGGAAAAGTTAGATGTTTTTAATGAAAATGATGTATCACTCAGTAACAGAAAATGGTTTAATGTTCATAATTCAGATAACAAAATACATTAGAAAATTAAAATAATAATGACCATTAAATTTTCTCTATTTTATTTATTTCAATCACATTCATTGAATTGGATTTCAGTTCGTTGTATACAAAATAAACCACGATATTTTGCAGAAAAATTATTAAAAGCCATGCAATGTGCTGAAACAGCTGATAAAGCACTTATACGTATTATTGTCAGTCGTTGTGAAATTGATTTGAAAAATATCATGAATGAGTTTCATAAAACAACACGAAAAACTTTGCATGAATGCATAGATGTAAGTGTGAATAATATTTATTGGATGATAATTTATTCTAATTATTGTCACTTTACTGCATGTTCAACATTGATATATTTCTTCTAAATGACGAATGGACTGAAATAAGGCAACTCTTGGAAAACTAAGATCAATAGATTATCATTCTGTCCAATTATGGGACGGACTCCTCATCGGTATGAATCTGAGAGTCGATAGTCGAATACAGATATTTCGATATCACGCATAAACCTTTAAAATCTAGACGTATGTGACCGGATCCGAGGAAATACAAGTCTCATTTCAATCAATCTACAAACTTTTAAGGAAATCTTCAACTGTCTTACATGAGTACCAACAAAAAAACAGAAACAAATAAAACTCAATAATTAGGCATTCTCATTGAAGAGTTCCATAGTACGACAAATTAACAGTCCAGTGCTGAATATTACTGAGTATTATTGCTTCAACCAAATGCTTCTCGAAAAACTTCTACGTTCATGTCTAAAGATGCACACATCACGTTTGCAGTCTCACACTTTATTGATTCACCAAATTTCAAAATGCTTCCGAAAACAATGACAATTCTCACTTAGTCGAGTTTTTCTTAAAACAAGTTGTGTCAAGAGTTTTACAATGGTAAATACATTTAATCAGTGTTAAATAGAAATTGATTAGCTTGATCAGGGTGTGCTGCATCAGTAACCATGACTGAACCAATCAGCGTTAACAGGATGAACTTGTTTTCAAAGTTCAAGTGTTCGTCAGCTAACAATTGACACAGAAATTTCATGGTTGTATTACATGTTGCTGAAACCTGATTATAACAACAAATTGAAGAGTTTCGACATGTTTCGAAATACAGTTCTAAGAAGACTAGACCATCCTGCATCTATGTATAGATGTGTGCGTGTTTCTCTGATTTGATGATCACATCAGATCACTTTGCTATAATTAAGTTGTGAAAGATATGAATAAATCAAACAAGAACGTTCATATTTAATATTCCACCATTGTTTCGACTAGATTATCTTTCATCTTGGTAAATCCTAGTGTTCAATTGTAGCATACTAGTTCGACTTATGTGAATGTATGTCATATTCTACATTGATAATAATTGATGTCATAATTTGTAGCAAATTCTAACATGCATTACTTGTGCATTGGAATTATTTATCAAGTGATCAAACGTGATAAAAGGAAATAATTTTACAAATTTTATTTCTCAAATATATTTTATTTTAGTTTAATTGTTGGTGTTTAAGAAGCGATCAGGTAAATCTATTTATTGATGGAACTTCATGGAATGAAACACCAAGTAATTATCGTCGGCTCTTAATGAAGCTTATCAAGGGATAATCTAATTACCCATTACATTGTTATTCATACATTTACAGTGATTGAAGTCAACAAACAATTATGAAAGTATTTGCTTCGCTTAACAAGTATTGTATTAACAAATGAAAATATTATTATTCACACTTATTTTATCTCCTTATCTAATCTCTCTCTCTCTCTCTCTCCCCGTCTCTCTCTCTCTCTGTGTTTAACCTATACTCCATTTCATTAATCTTCTAACAAAATGTAGTAATAAGATACGTTCGCTTAACTATTCTGCTTAAATGAATACAATTATTTTGTTATAAGATTGATTTGTTCAAGTTTTCATTGAGAGGAGTGAGTGGTGTGAAGCAAGTTGAGAGATATTAGTTTATTCAACTGAATGATCATTAGGTTGTTTATCATGAGTCCCCTAACAAGTCAAATCGGAGAACAACAAAGGAGAGATACATTCAGTGTTACTTCAGGACTGTTAAACAAATCATGTAGCAAATCAAACCGTGACTTTTTCGTGTTGTGTATTGACCAGTTAGAATGAAATATGCATGTTTTAGAATGCATTCTATTTTCGATCTAGTAATAGACATTGATTAATCTGGTGAAGACCACCTCGTTGAACGAATAAATTTCACTCAACTTCAGTTTACTTAACAATAATCCTCATCATCCCAATAATATTTTGTGCTGATTGACGAATTATGAATACGTCAATAAAGTAATTGATAACTGTATTCCAGATCAGTTTGATTGCTAAATACTTGAAAGTGCATTATGTTATTTTAAAAACACACTTTCGTAAAATATAGTAAATTTTAGAAAAACTAGTGCCTTCTTTTCGCTTTATGACAAATTTACTTAATTCGTTGCAAATCATTGCTAAATCCAATTTAACAAGTTGAAATGAATGAGGCCTATGATCTTTGCATTTGAACATGTTCTGAACCAAATTAAGATAGTCAATGTCGGTTCGATTGTTACCTTATATCTATGAATAAAATGCCAAAATCGTCATATCGATGGGAGAATTCTAGAATAGTGAAAGTTACGCAAAGCTTTCGTATGAATATTCTAATCATAGTATATGTAACATATGTGGCATGTGGTAACTAATCAGTATAACATAACGGGGCACCTGTAAATAGTAGAATCAAAGCTGAATAAATATTAAACGAAAGTTAGATAAAATTCTGATCATTTACTTAGTAATACAGTGTAATTATCAGCATTACTATCATGAAGATGTGGAATTGAGTGTTTGAAGCAAAATAAAATTAAATTAAAAAATATACAACATTAGCTATGATTACATTTACAATTACTTCGGTAAAACTATGCCGAACTGACGACCATGAGTGACTTATCAGTCAATCAGAAAACAACATCTAGTTATAGAACAATTAACAACTTTAGAACAAATACAATAAAACTACAGTGAAATCGCGGTTTTGATATGATAATCAATCCGTTGCATGTTAAATTATGTCTTATCTTAAAAGAAAAAGGTTGAGTTTGCATATAAGAACTTGAGTTAGTGTTGTGAGTTAGGGCTATAAACCTGTGAGGATTTTGTCACCACCTGACATCAGCTGTGACGCAATAATGCTTCATCACTTCTTTTTCAGCAACATAGAACATTAAATATTGAGATTTAGAATCTGGAATTAGAGTGGAAGGATATTATCTACTTACAAAAACACTCTTGACTGTACTCTGAATAAAAAAATTGCTTCAACACACAATCAACATCAGGAGCAGAGATCTCTTGTAATCTAACTTAAGTATCATATCATATTCACAATTTGGTTGCATGGTAGGTATTTTTTAAATCACTTTTAAACATTTAAGAAACTAAACATTCCCAATTTTTTTACTTAGTAATAAAATATGTGTCATCTTTCACTGTGCTATTAAATTCAAGCAAAAATACACGAGGAACTACCCTGATTCTTTCTGATACAATAAATGCAGTTAGTATTGTATACTTCACCATTAATTATTCTAAAACTATCTATACCCTCCAAGTTAAAGGAAGAAATGTAACACCTCATGATGCAAGCCGATATTCTTTGGAAGTCATGTGGCTGATTCTTCTTCTAACAACCAGAACGACAAATACTACAAGTACATGGGACGTCCAGAAAGTGTTGGAGACTGGGAGGACGAACAAAATATATGCGTAAATGAAGAAATACAACTTGGCAGTTGTCAGAATCAGCGAGATCCATTGGATTCAAGCCGAAGAGAACAGGATATATTCAGGAAAGATGCTGTTGTACTCTGGCCACGAAGAAGAAACTTCTCCACACACTCAGGGATTCGCTCAGGTGCTGTTCAGAAAAGCACGAAATTCATTTGTAGGATGAGAATTTCATGCATCCAGAATCATCAAAGCATTATTTAAAACAAAGGAGGAGGGGGATACAATGAATATCATCCAGTGCTGTTCGCCCATCAATGGTATCAATGGTGACGATAAACATCAGTATTGTGAGAGGTTTCAATCGACTATAGTGAAGTGCACAGGAAAGAATCTTACGATCCTGATGGGAGATCTTAATGTCAAAGTCGGGTTGGACAACAACGGTCTTGAAGGCGACATAGACTGCCTATGAGAAATGAACGAGAATTGCGAGAGACTTGCGAATATATGTGCGTTCAACAAAATGGTTATAGGTGGCACAATATTCCTCCACAAATACATGAACAATGCTACATGGGTCTCACCGGATCACACTACACAGAACCGGATCGATCATATCTGCATCCGTAAAGATTTCACAAGGCCAACAGAAGACGTGAGAACCAAGAGAGGAGCTGTCATATGTTCTTATTGCCACCTGTTGGTGGCCGAGATGAAACTGAAACAAAAGAAGCACTAGATAATTGTAGAAACAGCATTACCGAGGTTCAATATAGTCTTTTCTTTGAGATACTGACAATCCTAACGAGTTGAAGATCGTTCTCAACAACACATTCCAAGTCTTATAAGATCTATTGGAAGAAGAGGAAATTACTATGGAGACCAACTGTGAACTGGTCAAACAAGCACTGACTTCAGTATTCCAGGAAGTTGTGGGCTTCAAGAAGCATGATCACAAGGAATGGATCTCTATCGAGACCGTGAGGAGGATTTAATTAAAGAAAGACGATAAAACAGCAATTAACAACAGCCTAACAAGAATAGAGGAAGTCAAGGCACAGGCCGAATACACAGAAACAAATCTGGTTTGTTCTCTTCCATAGTAAGCTGCTGCTGATGGTATGCGGTCAACGGCCATTCAGTAGCTTGCGTAGACAGCCATTTATAATTACTTGAATCTTCTTGATGGTGGTTGTAGTAGTTCTTGAAGTTTCAGCTCCATACAGTAGAACTGTCTTGACGTTCGTATTGAAGATTGTGACTGTAGCGTGGAGTCGAGTCGAGATTGACTATGAACACCACCACAAAGGAACGCGTGCCAGGATGTCCATAAAATCCCCCGGAAGCGAAATATCAGAAGGCAGTTAATGGCCAATTCGATATATATTTGCTGGCGATCTCGTGGTATCGAAAGAATACCGAGATCGTGCCAGGATACAAGCTTGGTTACAGAGCGTAAACGAATTCGCGCGAGGTCACAATCAAAGTGTAAGAATAATGCATGTTTTTAGCACAGTTAAACAAAGAGCACATTAAACAGTCACTGGTACAATTGGTTATAATAATAATTGTTTTCATTAAACCAATCGTGTTCTCGTGATAAAAACAAGTCACTACATGACTTTGATATTGAAAGAAAGTTGTTTTGAGTTCCATATGTTCTTTAATTGTAGGAATGCGACCCTTGCTTTGCCAATCCTCGACTTTACATCTGCATCTGATCCTCCTGGTTCATCGATGATGCTTCCCAAGTATGTGAAGGATTCTACATCTTCCACAGTTCCTCCATCAAGAGTGATTGGATTGCTGTTCTCCGTGTTGTATTTGAGGACCTCGGTTTTCCCCTTGCTTATGTTGAGGCCCACCGATGCAGAGACTGCCGCTTCACTGGCTGTCTTCATCTGCATCTGTTAGTGTGTACGCGATAGGAGGGCTAGCTCATCTGAGAAGTCCAAATCGTCTAACTGGTTCTGAGCAGTCCATTGTATGCCGTGTATTCCCTCAGATGTCGAGGTCTTCATAATCCAGTTGACCACCAGAAGAAAGAGGAAGGGAGAGAGTAGATAGCCTTGTCTGCCTCCAATCCTCACTTGGAATGCATCTGTCAGCTGGCCTCCATACACGAGATTGCACTGTAGTCCATCCTATGAGTTCCGGATAATGTTGACAATGCATAGTGTCGAAGAAGTTTCCATAACGTTCTCCTGTCTACACTGTCAAATGCCTTCTCATAGTCACTGAAGTTGATGTACAGTGACGAATTCCATTCAACTGATTGTTCGACGATGATCCATAGTGTTGTAATTTGGTCTGTGCACGATCAATCCTTGCGGAATCCAGCTTGTTGATCTCGAAGTTGGGCGTCTATTGAGTCTTTCATCCGGTTCGGCAACACTCTGGTAAAGACTTTCCCTGGTACTGACAGTAGTGTGATGCCTCTGTAGTTTTCACATTTGCTCAGATCTCCTTTCTTTTGAATCATGACGAGGTATCCTTCTTTCCAGTCCATCGGTGCACGTTCCTTCTCTCAAATCTTCCTGAATAGGACGTGCAGCACATTTGCAGTTACTTCTTTGTGTGACTCCAGTGCTTCAGCTAGTATGTTGTGACTACTCCACAAATGTTAAAGTGCTACCTTGATTTTATCCTATGGTAGAATTAGGACTCAGATATTCAAAGCTCTCGAATTTGATTATATTCTTTTTGATTATCAATAACCAGTAAGGGTGCTATAATCCTTCCGCTACATTGTTCATTCGCAACGACAAAGTGAAAATTTTCTTATTAAGGGTCAAGTTTGTTTGCATTTTCTTTCCATATTCTCTCCTCATTACATTTGATTTTTGTATTGCTTTATGCTACTTGTAAACATTCAGTA